AATTGAAATTTATTTAGGAAAATTTCATTAAATACGTTAATATTTTATTCTTACATGATCAATTATTAATCAAGTATAAGCCAGCACTATTATAAATTCGTTCAGAAAATTGCAAAACACAGTCATGGTAATGCTTTGAAACTCCTATGTCGTGTGTTTATGTGCATCGTCTTGAAACCATTCTAGAAGCTTTTAGAGTTAGCTTCTCAAATAATCATTCTAGACTCTTCTAGATTTGTCTCTCGACACATCTATTTATGTCACAAAAACCACTTAGTTTACTGAAGAAACATTTTATCTTTGTCTGAAAAAATCCTTTTTCTGACCATAATACTATTTTTGGAAAGAAATGAAAGAACTCCTAACTATATGTAATGGTTCCAAAGCGAAGATTCAATGGTGTGTATGTTATTTTATATGGAATATTTTTATAAATGCGACAGAACGTTAACGACAAAGAGAAAATGTCAACACATGAGTTATTATAGTAAAATAATCTATATACACATTTCAGGAAATTAACATTATCAGATAACTGAAGAAGTTACTTATTAAAATCCCTTTGTAAGATGTAGAGTTTGAAATAATGCACAATGGCTATGAGATACGAAAAAGTATTTTTAAATCGGAAAAAAAAATCGCATTCGTAAATATTTTGAAATGTGCGCCCAGTATTATTTTGAGTTAAAGACGAACAAAACACACAGTCAAAAAATCATTTCTTATATGTATTTTGTTTCTACACATCATTAAATTATAACATAGAAGCCGTCTGATTTGAAAATATAGTTACATATTTTTTTAAACTGAACGAAAATTTCTATTTTTTAGCATAGCTCAAAATTAGCCGCCTTTATTCAATCCAATTTGAAGTAATTATTTGTAAAACTTTACTAATTTTATTGAAATTTACTTTTTTAAAATTTCCACAAACATGAAGATTATATGTAATTAAATTAATACATTATTTACTTTAATTGTACTAAAAAGACTCATTGAGTTTGTGAAATAATATGTTTGTTCTTTATATATAAATAAGTTATTAATTTCATGTAAATATCAACACTAAAAATATGCAAATTTTGAATATTAAACATTTTTTGGCTATATATGCGTATTTTATTTAACTAAGTTTTAACACAATGTAACTAAAAAAGCACTTGAGGTTCATTATAATGTGATACACCAGACAACTCAAGTCTTATACATCCCAAATCTGGCTCTGAAATTTTAATTATGCATTAAACATTTCAACCGGAACGTCTTTGGATGAAGTTTAATTTACAACTTGGCGAAACTACTTAAAAGTTTTCAACAAGTTAACTAGTACTTGTAATTTTCGTAGAGTGTTCTTCAGCTTAAAATAAACACTAAAACTTTAGACAGAGTTTGCTCATGAAAAAAATTGAATATTAATCCATTCTAAATATAAAAGAAAAAGAAACATTGCTTTTACACAATATCCTACAGATTTAATAAAAATACAAAATTTATTAAAAACCAAAGTTTTCAACTGTAATAAGCACCTGAAGTAATCTGCTCCTCTGTTTTCCGCGTATATTAATGATTTATTAAAAATACTTATGTCAAACTTAGTTTAGCTCATAGTTTCAGATCATATCTAGCGTATCTCCCCCGAGAAAATAATTTATTTCGCTCTTATAAATAATGTATCTATTTGTTATTAACATAACTTGTTGATGCATTAATTATTTAAAGGTTTATGTAAATGTATAAAAGGTTTAGAATATTTAATTTTTCTCTGTTGTTGAGATAATAAAGTTATAACAAAAGAGAGGTAATAAGAGATATTTAAAATGACACGTGAATGCTCTTTTTTCATTAAAACTGTTGGTTGGGGCAAACAATTTCACTACTTTCTGCATTATTATTCACATAAAAGCATAAACTATGTGATGCATTTAAATAAAAAATTTACGCGAAAAAGAAAATACGAGGATCACTGTGAATTTTTGAGATACTCCTAGGTTTTTAAAGTTATACTTACAAAAATTTAGGAGTGTTTAATGTAGTAGTCTCAATGCACTTTTGTAGACGAATTTTTCACTGATTATAAATGCCTCAAACCCTTCATTTCTTGGAATAGATGAAAAAATGCATTTATAGCCACATCAATCTCTTCTTCTGAATGAAGACGACATCCTCGTAAGTTCTTTTTTAGATTAAAAAGTAACCAAAAGTCACACACATAGCTAGATACGGAGAATAAGGTGGATGCTCTATCACTTAAATCTGTTTTTGTTTAAGTAACTCAACTGTTAATAGGGCTGTTTGAGAAGATGCATTGTCATGGAGAAGCATTAGTCCCTTAACCCTTTGAAGCGCGGAAAAATAAATTCGCTGAATTTTTCAAAATAAAATTATAATTGCAATGTATAGAACCTAAGAACAGAGAAAATACCTTTAAAAAAATTACAATACATTCCCCCCCCCCGAGCGGGGAGGTGGTTTCAGAGAAGTACCACCGTGCACCTACGACATAATTCTCGGATGAACAATATATGATTTGCGTCAGATTTGTAAGAATATTCTTTATATATTGTGTAATAAATTTACTAAAATATACAATATTAAGTATTAGAATTACTTTTTAAATATTAAATAATACAAAATATAACTATAAGCGATTGAACTCAACTTCAATAGCCAGTAAAGTTTTTTTCATTGTTTCTTTATTATTAAATTATTAAAACATGCAGTAATACTGAAATAATAAACCCCTCCACCAAATCAATGGCAAAACCCCCATAAATTATTAGTTATTTCACTACCTGAGTCAAAGAAAAGAAAAAAAAAGGCTGAATCTTTTACGCGTGTGTGCTATCAGCCGGAGAAGAAACGGACAATTTTCATGTTCTAGGTGCGCGGTGGTATCAGTCTGAAACCACCCGAAAAAATCTTTATATAAGACACTTCTTTTCATAATTTATCTTACTAAAAATTAGTTATTCTATGAGGAGCATATGCAGCAAAAATGTACATAACTTACTTTGAATTTTTGCCTATTTTTATTTGCTAAAAAAAATCTTTTTTGGAGTGTTTAAAAAGGGCTTTTAAAATGATGCATTTTTCTCACAGAAAAAGTAGTTTTTTCTGACCTGCTGACATCTAGTGTCTTTTAAGAGAGTTAAAAGATATCTTTAGAATTATTGGTTTCATTAAAATACCACTGCACGTTTAGAGGTATTTTTTAGAAAATGGTGGTTTCAGAGAGATACCACTTTCTGGAACATATTTAGTGGTATACCAGTTTGCTGTTACTATCTTCTGTCCGTCCAACTTGATGGCTTTAACCAATTCCGTTTTTCTGAAGAAAACGTCATACATTACTTTTTTCAGTACTCGTTGTCGTTTCACCATTGTTGGCTTGGAATCATCTTCAAAGACCCATATTTTGCTTTCTTGAAGTGTTGGAAGGTCAAAAAAGAGTATGTACGTGTCATCACACGTTACAATTTTAGGAATGATGTGATTGCTACCATCGTTTAGCAATTTAATGGTTTCTTTAGTGATTCTGACGCGCTTCTCTTTTTAGTTAGATTATGGAGAACCCAACAGCAAATTACTTTTTTTCACATGTAATTCTTCATGAATAATTTTGTGTATAATTGCGGATCCAATGTTAAGTTCCTTTTGTATCATTTGGTAAGTACAACGATTATCATACATCAACATTTTTCGTATAGTAAACACATTATCCGGGATTAATGCCAATCGCAGCCTTCCTGTGTGTTCTTCCTCCTGAAGAAAATGACGACCACTGCAAAATTCTTTAAACTATCTGAATACATTTGCACGACATGGAGATTCATCACCAAATGGTAATTGCAGCCGTTGAAAGCATTCCTCTTGATTTAATCCAGATTTAAAATCATAGAAAATCATAGCACTACAATGTGTGTACTCGCGTTCCGTTTTTTCTTCTGTCTAAAATTTATCCTACGCTAAACAACTTGATGAAAGTCAGTAAAAAGTCGTATCCTGTGTTAAAATACTTTGTATTTTCAAACTAAACCGTTAATTTTTTTTGTAACTTCTCGTCGGCGTGTATTTCAAAAGTTTATGTGTACCCTCGTAATCAATCACTTGAACTGAAATATCGGATGATGTAATAAGTTATCATGTAGAGTATAAAACTAATTTAAATTGGCTAAGCCTTTAATAATATATATATATATATATATATATATATATTTCAAATAATATTCTGTAGCACAAAATGTCAAATTTTTGAACTAAATAAAAAGGAAAAATTGTAATGCTCTTTTAATTTATGAATAAATGCTATACATGTTGCCGATAACTTTTTCGCGAAGTATAATAGAAACTGGTTTTAAGATAAAATACATTATATAAATAAAAGATGAAAAGAATCTCATTAAATGTTGATAATAAAAATAAATAATTATGCACAAATGCCACATCGAATCATATCTTACATCTGCGAGATTTAAGAGGGATCTGAAATACACATGAATTTAACCATAAGTAAGGGTTGTTACTCTCTCTCTCTCTCTTTAGATCTAAACTTACAGTAATTTCCGAATATAAGTCTATCCGTGTATAAAGTCGAGAGGGCATTTTTTTCAAATATTTCTCCAAAATTCAAAACCCGTATATCAACCAAAATGAAAAAAAAAATGTCCCTGTAATTTTTAAACAAGCCATCATGAAGGTAATAATGTAACTAATTGGGTAAAAACAGTTGGGACGTTTTCAATTATAATTATTATTTATATATATATATATATATATATATATATATATTGATCAATTTTTTAGTCGTTTATAAAATACTTTCTATTCATCCATTCAAGTTCAAATACATTTTTTAAAACTTGTAATGGATGACACTTGATGTTAATCCAGTTTTTTTCAAATATTAATTCATTAATTAAACTAAAAATTAAATAAATAGTAACAAACAAAAATAATAGTTCAACAGCATATATAGAAAGAAAATTGTCCATGGTGTCCCTCTAGCGTAATGGAAAACGCATTGGATTTCTAATCCAAAGGTCGTGGTTTCGAATCCCACTTCTTGCGAATTAGATTTTTAATTATCTGGGTCATCAAAATGAGATTTAGTATTTGTGCTTTGGAAGAATGCGTTTTGAAGTTTTAATTTCATCATAACAATATTATAAAAAACACGTACAAATTTTAAATCTTGACCAAATCCATTTGCTCTCCCCCCCCCCCATTAAACAATACTCAAACTAGAATTTTTGCATGAATTGCGCAATTCTTTCTTGAAATGATTTGCTACTGCATATATAATTCTACATATGTCAGTCTCACTTACGCGCGGGAGAAAAATAATTAATTCATTTTTTATCAGTTTCTTTTCTGGCAAATGATCTGAAATGTGGGTGTGGTAGTTTCTGTCCAGCATCAAATATTGCTCCATATCTTCATAAAAAATGCAGGTAAATCTTTGAAATTTTGCAGGCATGTTTATAAAGATTTGCGGAATCATTTAAGCCAATAAAAAAATCGATATTTTGATGATTTTTTGGGTGTTATATCGCCTTAATTATGAGCCTCGTACAAGAGATGAGGACAAAACCTCAGCAAGCAACCCCCTCTCCTAACTACCACACCACGCAAAGTCGAGGCTAAGTTGGACAGATTTAACGTAAATTAGCCCCCTCTACATGGGTGGTCTTCAGTAGCACCAATACTCGAACCTGCGCCCACGAGTTTGTGACTACAACCACTAGGCAACAGCGGACACACTAATTTTCATGAATTGAGCTCCATTAAGTATTTAAGCCCATTAAGTTTTTCACTGTCAAGGAAAATTTGCACGGTTCACTCCTCTGCCCCACTGTTTTTCATACAAGCTTGCAAGAGTATCAGGAAGGGTGAAAATAAGGACATAAATAAATATAAATTCCTCGCAAACAGTGTCAATGCAATTGTATTGCATTCCAAAGCCACCGGAATTGCAGAGAAATAATCCATTCATAAAGTTCAGAATTGTTTATATATACACGCCATGAGCAGTTAACGCAATTGGTGAATGAAGCGTATATATACGCCAGCAGAAGTTAAGAAGTTAATGTGTTTGTATCTTAAGCAATTGCCATGCAAAATTAGTTTTCAAATATCAATTACGTTAAGGTACTCTAAATATTACTGACAATGATTTTTAGTACGATTAGAACAAAAAATATCCCTGTTTTAACAATTGCATTCATGTTTGCATATTTCTTACAATAAAGTTTACTCAACAAAGCGTAGAAAAGCTCAGTTCTTCAAAGAAAAATAGTTATCGTTGTATACATTGTTTCATTAGTATCTGTATCAATTTTCTCAACAATTTTCCTGGTATCATCAAAAAAATTGATGAAGATAAGAAAAAAAATGTATCTCTTGCAATTAAAAAAAGGCCATTTTAAAAATTTCTTCGTTTTACCGAACCTGTGGCGCCACTCCCAGTTCCATTGAAATCTGCCCAGCGGGGGGAAATTAATTATGTCACGATTAATTGGTAAGCGCTTTCTATGCCCGCCTCTTCACAAGTTTTGGGTAGGGACTAATCAATTAATTTGCCACCGCAAATCAATGCATTTGTTTTCTTTGGAGGGGTTTCTTAGCCATCTGTATGCTTAAGCTGTCACTTTTGATTGAATGAAGGGAAAAAAGGAGTAGTGGGCGCCGCTTTGGCGGGAATTTGGCGCAGTGATATAGGTCATTTAAACAAAAATTTCTTTTATTTTCTAAAACGATCTTTTTTTTAAGTATTTTTAGCCTGGTTGCTATGGTAAGATTTTGTAAATTACACAAGATTCTATACAAGGGCAGTTCTTATAGAAAATTTAAAAAAAGAGAAAGTTATAAAAAATAATTTACAGTCACGTGAGCTTTTATCATCTCCATCATTTGGTTTCCATGGTAATGTAAGACTTGATTGAAATAACTCTGCAGTTTTGGGTGAAAAAACTCGGACTGGCGGCACTTGTAGAATATTTTTAAAAATAAATACTTTAAAAAAGTTTTCTTAAAAATATTTAAATAAAAATTAAACATTTTAAAAATAAAAGAAACCTTTTTTTTAGTAGAAATTATTTTCAAAATTACACCATTTTTAGTTAAAAATGGCTGTTAGAATATAAAATGTGGTTAAAATTTGTGTTCCTTTGTGGTTTTTAATTGAGCTTGTAACTTTTGGCGAAAATATTTTACTACATGTCTATAACATTAAAGTATTACATAAGAATATTTTTTTTTGAAAAAGAAACATAACAAAGCAATTAAATTTAGGGATGCGAATTTTATTCTTAAACACCATTGAGATACTTAGAATATAACATATGTTCAATTAAAAATGATTTTATTTAATTTATTTAATACATTTGACAAATTTGGGCACTTTCCTGTTTCGCCTGAGCAGGCGATAAAGTCGCCAAAATGATACAACCGACTCCAAACGAAATATTACTCCTGGAAACCTTGTACTACCGCATTTTCAAAACAAGTCAAGGTTTTTTCTCATCAGTAACGTCTTTTTCATAATACATCAAAAATAGATGGAAAGCCATTGAGAACTAACACACATTTAATAACATCTCTTTTGTGTGTATATATTGTGTGTTGTCGCCAATAAAATCTGCTTATAGACAGATATGCGCCTGGGAAACGGAAATTACCGAAATTTGTATGAATCGATTTTACAAATAAATAATTTTAAATAATGACAACCATTGATCAATTAATAACTTCTTTGGTTTTTTCAATGAAAGTAAAACCCTATTTTTTTCAATATGAAATCTTAATACTTTAATGAATTTGATAGTATTTTTTCAAATCGACAATTCTTCGACAGTTCTTAATTTTGGCGTGAACTACGCTATTGACCAGATATATACAGGTTTATTAGCTGCTAGACCGAAACACTTGCAGGGTGCGTAGGGGTACAGAAAAGACTCGGAATCACATAGGAATACAGAGCTGCGCAAATACCGTAGTTTCGAGCTATGTTGCAAAGAATCAGAAAAAGAATAGAAACAGCGACACATCAATGGAACAGAAAACTTTTTTACTGAAAGATTGTACTACAACGGGTGTTCAAAGTTAGTCATCTGGCAGGCCTGACAATGACGCTGCATGGAATTCCTTACGTCCTGCAAAATTTCTGGCATGTCTCGTATCCTTCCAGCAAGAGCATTGAGGTCGAAGAAATGGGTGTCTCGTACATCAAAAGAACTGATTAACCAATCACACGTAAACTTCTGTTTTCACTTGCGAAGGTCGTGCGATGGGGAACACGCCTATTCGGGTAACGTTCCTAGTACAGCCAAAGAGTGGCGTATCCGTTACAATCCGCATCTCCGTACACTATTAGGATGTCGACCAGTTCCTCGTTTGAATATGAGATCAATCTACACTTCGGGAAACGGATCGCAAATGATAACTTCCAGCAGGATCGGTGTTCACGAAACCTACCGTGCAGAGCCATCTACCACAAGCCTGCCTGAGAGAAATCTTCTAAAACGTCAGGAATTCCATGCAGCATCGCTGTCAGACTTGTCAGGTGAATTGTGTTCGTTCTTCCGTATACTTGTTGTTGTACAACCGTTTAATAAAAGGTTTTGTGTCCCATTTCTGTGTTGTTATTTCTGTTATTTTTCTATTCTTCTTTGTACCGTAAACCGCAACTATGGCATTTGTGACCTTGCATTCCTAAGCGATTCTCACTCGTCTTTGTACCTCCTACACTTATTTGTACCCCCTACACGCTCGTTTGTTCATCTGGTAGTGAATCACATTGTATATATATACTTTTAAAAGTTCCTTTTGTATCTTATATTTATTTATCTCTTTCATTTGCATGGATTGTTTTAATGAATGATCAAAATGAATAAATCTGTTTCAAGATTTTTAAAAAAAAATTAAGCAACTGAAATTATTTAAACCGACACGATGCAAGCATCCAACTTTAAGTGTTCTGGACACATGTCTATGTGTGAATCACTTGAAAATATTCAAAAAAATAATAATTTAACAAATTGACAAAATCAAGATAAAATCCAAAATATATAGGGGAAAAATGGATGATAATCATAATCCTGGCACAAAGTACAAAATCACTTAACATATGTTATAAAAATATGGATAATAATTCTACTCTTAAAGTGCAAACGGTAACTAAATCAAATATTTTCAATTTATGGAAATGCAGTCATTATACACAGACGATAATATCTAAAGTTCAAAACAGTCTATTGTATAAAGATCTCAAAATACATTTTCAAAGCATATATAAATCAAGTTTTAACTATGTAAATGTCATTTCTTTGGAAAACAACTGTGATCTTTAGTTCATCAATCATTATAAACATTTACACAATTCATCTTTACTAATTTAAAGTTCGTTACATATTTAGTGAACTCGGTACATTACTTTCATTGAAAGGCAAGTATATATATTCCCATGGAATACAATAGCAGTAAGGGCATTGACATATTTCATATCGGTGAGATCTCAGGTCATGTCTGAGCCCTTAAGCCTTATTCACACCGTACTTAGCATTCACTCAGTACCCCCTAGCAATCTGGAATACATTCTCAGCATTTCACTAAGCAGTGGTACATGAGTAGGTATTACTATGACGAACTCTAACTTAAACCTTACAATTCAAATATACATCCATACATAACTATAGTTATGCAGCCTCCCTTTTGTAGTTTCTTAATGGATCATAGCATATTCATGAAACTTATACTAGTGCAAAATTAATGATAGCGCAGGAAATGTAAATAAGATTCAATTGATCATTTTGATGCTCTGACCTTTTATTATTGAAAATTTCTTTAAACAAGGGATAAAAATGAAGATTAGAAGGAATTTTCTTACGAGTTCATTTAATTGAATTTGGCCAGATTTCCAAGTTTTAAGCGAGTGAGTGTACTTTAACGTCCCAATCTAAAGCAGCGGTTTTTAAGGTATCCGACTACTTGCGACAACTTTTTTTAAAGGAGAAATAGGGATTTTTTGTGGTTTTTAGATTTGTTTAGTACATTTTAAGAAAGATATGCTAA